ACGTCCGAGAACTCCTGCAGTAGCTCATCGCGAACACGAGCGATATCAGCAGAGCTAGGATTGACAACAGGCTTTGATACAGCACGGATCTTAGGTGGCGCGGCAGCATTAGCAGCAGGGTACTGTGCAGGCCAATCTGACGGGAGGAGCTGGAGTGCACTCAAGGACGAACGTGATAGAAGAGCATCGTCCAGACCCTTGTACACGTGGATTACGGTGCTGTGTTGTACTTCGCCAACCTGAAGTGAAGCACGAATACTGCCGACGTTCTGCAACTGCTCTCCAGATGCCGCTAGGACGCACTCTGGGTCATGGTCGAGGTTCTCGGGGAACCCGCCAAGCAGTTAGAGATGATGCTCGCCAATGGCATCGACGTCACTGCCAGTATCAGGGACCCAGGGTAGCGTGACTGCCTCATCCTCAGTGGCTAAACGGGTGGACACACGCACAGTAGGCTGCGCAGCAAGACGAGTACGCTGCAACTTCAGTTGGCCCACATGCTTCACGTTCCGGTCCGAGTGTGACGACGACCTACACATAGCGAGAAAGTGACCAGTCTTGCCACAGCCATTACATTTCTTGCCGCTGGCAGGGCAACTAGACTTTGTGTGCGGGCTCCGGCCGCAATTGGGGCACTTCTTGTGTGTGTCGCTTCCTGACGAGGGAGCGGATGCAGATGGCAATACAGGTGCAGACATCTTGCTGCCAGGCTGTCCCTGTCGGGATTGTTGCTTACTGCGTTGGTACGCGGACCGCCGCACAGCATTGAGCTGGCTGGTGGACGGGATACTGCTGCTCGTCGTGGTAGCCGCTTCCTCCGCCCGGCAAATTGTGACTGCATCGTTCAGGGTCAAGTCCTTGGCAGACAATAGCTTGTGCCGTGTAGCGTCGTCACCAATTCCAATGACAATCCTGTCACGCAGGGTGTCAGCACGCACCCGTGTCAGGCTTGTGCGACAGGTACTACATGTGTGTGCTGAACATTGTGAGCACAAAACAACGTCCGGAAAATCACAGCTAGTGTGTAATTCTTTCAACGAAGTGTAAAAAGAATCGAAAGACTCGCCTTTCAATTGACACCTATCGTAAAATGCGATACGATCCAGGAGTGGGTTGCGCTGCCGTCGCAAATATTCCTTGACTGCAGAAATCACATCGTCCGCATCGGGATTCGGTGGAGTCACGATTATACCCTCGCGGAGAAATCTGCGTAGCTCCTCATCTAGAGCTTGCCGCAGCGAGGATACTCTGGTCTCACGGCTCTGGGCTGACAGGTGCTGGCACTCATAATAGCCTCGCCACATTTCCTGCCATGCCGTGAAGTCGGCTAATGTCGAGGACGACAGTAAAATCGGTCGCTCCGCAGAGACAGGCTTTGGAGCTGGTGATGTGGTGCTGGGTTGCACGGGTTGTTGTGTTGGTTGTGTCAGTCGTTGTATAGTTTGTTGGAACAGGTCAGCCATTTTACGTTCCCTCTCCTCTGAGGACTTCATTTGTGCCGCCAACATCGCGGTCAGGGCAACAATGTCAGGAGCAGGGTCTGAGTCGGACATCGTGGTCGCAACCTACGCAAATGCTAGTATCACGAACAAACTACAAAAAAATCGGCCAGTGCGCAACACAACGAGGTGCAAACACAAAGCATGAGAAACTAAACACACAGGTGAGTTCTACAAGGAACGAACAGTTCACTGCGCCATGATATGTCTACAGTTAGCAAGAAGACATTTATTATAAAACAAATCTGAAGAGAAGGAAAACACAACTGAAGAGGCAAAACACATGAAGCACGGAAGTATCTCCCAAGCCAAGCAAGCATGCCGTTATGGTGCGAGGTCATACAACTGTGGTACAAATCTAGTACGGGAGTACATGAACTACAGGTCAAATATGGCATGGGGGAATCCATATACATCAGTACCCATCCCCCGTTATCCCATGGTACGGTACTATAGGCCTGTTTCAGCCAATCAGGAGCCTTGCTGACCGGGAAATAATAGCCAATACAATCCCGCGCGGGATGATATTCATTATTAACTGGGTTCACTTTCACCGTACCTACTACGGTGCACCCTGCATTGGCATGCCCCCACCCCCTCTCGATTCGATGCAATGCATCTTGCCACTGGAGTCCTTTCGATCAGAACCCAGCGACAAAATGCACTACACAGAACCGTGAGAGGTTGAGAGCATGCCAATGCAGAGTGCACCGTCGGTACAGTAAAAGTGAACGGAGAGAACTTACCTCCGCGACTACGTCCAAAACCAGATTCCACACAAACAAACAATGAACTCCAATCACTATTCAACTCAACACTACGACACAAAGGAGACTTCGAAGTGCATCAGTTCTCATTCACTCTTTGTAAACTCGAAAACTACACAAAGTATCACCATCCGAGAGAAAATTACTACATGTAATTGCAAGGAGAGATACCGCAACAACTCGAAAAGTACAAGACGTGAAAGTGAGAGGAAAAATCTTGTACAGAATATTCAACAGTGTGAAAGAAGAAGAGCTCAGCAATCCATGTGTGATGTAGATAAGATATGGATGCAAGATGCGACCCGCAGTGACTATCAGTATCATGACATCGTATCCAGCTCGATTACCACAAGAACAATCTAAAACGTAGATGCTGCTACAAATCCAGTATGCCTATAATATAACAAGATTAACATTCTTCTGATTGCATAGTGGCCGATAGTGATACAACCAAGAGTCTTGATACAACGAAATGCACTTTACTCACTGGTGCCTATGTCCGACGATATGTACAATGTGGTTACTGCCTGCACGGACAGTGTTCAGCAAGGATCCCAAACCGTTGAAAGTTCCACGCCGATCCAATGACAAGGAAGTCAGCACCAGCATCCACAATGACGTTGTATCTCACCGTGACTTGAAGTATGGCCCTTACTTTGAACCAAATGACTATGTATCATAACAGTGCAATCTTCGTCAATTCTCTAGTCCAACTACAAAAATGCAACTTGTCTCCCGAGCTCCATCGCTCTCAAACCTTGATTGGATTGAAAAGAAAGGCAGCATCTTGTTTTTGGTATAGCTGTACCTTGGTAATTGTATTCAGAACGCAGTTGCGTCGATCCCCAAAATGCGTAGATGTACCTGGGATAAGTAGGATATTGACCCGCGTACTCGGGTGTTACCGTACCCTCATATCATCCCTCCTGCTACGCAGTCGGGATGATATTCGGGAGATAACACCCTCGTACTTGGGTAATATCCTATACCTATCACATGCCATACCGCCACCGCACCTTCACACAAGTTTGTATGCCACCTTGTACACAATAGGTTCAAAATTTGAAATTCTCAGGGAAAATTGAAAGTACATGGATGCTCGACATGAACGTGCAACGTCACCGTACGAGTACTCGAAGTACATTGTAAGTTCATACTCTGCCGATTTTTTTCCATTCACGCGTCTCTCACTTTTAGCGCCGACTCCGCCGAGGCCATTTTCTCCAAAAATTTGGTCAAAACAGCGATGTTTCACCTATAAGTTTAACGCCATGGCTTTATATGCGCGGAAATACGGTATATAGGATATTGCACGGGGCCGAGGGGATTATTAAAATTTTTTCAAATCCCCAAGGCGCGCAGCGCCGCGGGGATTATGAAAAATAATCCTCGCGGACACTGTGCAATATCCTGTATACAGTATAGACCATACTTTTCGGGTGATCAGCAGCGCTGCATGCAGCATGAACCAGTGCACTGTGAACACCGAACGCGAAGTACCGGTAGTACCGGCGAAGTACCGGTACTCGCGGCGGTAGTTCTGATACTAGTACAACTAGTAGTCGTTTGTTCGTCGCCTCTCCAGGTTTTGATCCACTTATTGGTTTGACTGAGGCGAATGCGGATTGTCACACACTTTCTTTGGCTTGTCTCCCAAGACGAAGCCTCATGAACTCTGCTGCTTGTTGGTAGCTAACAAGACCGTGGGGAAAAGCGATACTGATAGCGATCAAGTGAAGACGACGAAATAGTAGATATTGTGATTATTTGAAAATAATTTGAGGTGCTCTGTTCGTCTATCACCTACCGGCGTGGAGGCGATTTATTCCCTACAAATCAAAGACTACAATGAAGAATTGTCAGACACTGACGTCCGTCCCATGGCTTAGTCAAATGGTGTAAGAGTATCCGAAATAAGATGGATTGTTTGTGATCGTGTGGAACAATTTTGACAAGACCAGTAGAGCGTGAATGGGTACATCTACACGTACAATGTAGAACCAATGGCAATGACATTGAGTTAGTAGTAGGCTAACTGCTGCAAAGATTTATCTTTCAGGTCTGTGAAAGAAGGAATTTTCCAAACACTATACTAGAAACCAAAGTTTGCATTGAACGGCGATGCTCATTACTATGCCGCAGTATGCGTCTTTGTCATTTCGTTCAATGTTTCTATGGCAACTCGTGTGCTGGAAGAGCATTTGTTGTCATTGACTCAATTTATTTTACTCTCCATAGGCTATTGGATTATTTTCCTTACTATAACCAGTATCTATAATGAGAGTGTGGTGTGTCTCTATGGTTACCGGTGTTCGGCACACCCGGTTCATGTAGCATGTTGCAAATTAAGATGCTCTTGTTTGTTGCTGATAGAAAGATTGCCACTTCCCTAGTTTTGTTTCACCAATATGCTTTTCGTTTGACACCTATAGCCACTTCCCCTTTTTAGACCTTATCTGGAAGGCCCACTCTTGGATATTAAAGCAGCAGCCAAGGGAGCTAGCTCTCTTGGTTATGCTGGTAGAAGGACTGGGTCCGACCCACCGTCCGAGGGGATCCACAGGATTTCCTGTGGATATGAGATCCCCTCGTTTGAGGGGATTATGAGCCATAATGCCCTCAAACTAGGGGAAATATCCGTAGATCTACTCTTGTCAGTCTTGATGAGTAGGTCTATCTAGCGCGCGCATAGCACAAAAGCAGTGGCAGTGCATAGATATACAGCTACCGCAGTACCGGTAGCTACCATAGCTTTGGCTACTTGCGCCCTGCCCATTGAAACATTTTGTTTCCTGCTCGAGCGCTCGCGCTTGTAGGTTTCCTACATACTACCCAGAGCTCTTGTCTCCTTGTTCTTGTCGAAGCATGCCTCTCGCTGTTGAGCTTCTGTATGCTCGTCTACCGCTACCAGAAATATTCGCCCCGTTGAAGACTGGGCCATTATTGCAAACTGCCATTTTTGACCTTCTCCGTCGGTCCATCCATTCTCTTGCGAAGACTTTGTGGTAATCGCCAAGGCTTTGCTACGCTCGAGCGCCGTCGGCTGCCAAGAGAAAGGGGTTGGCCATTGATAATCTTTACCAATTTAGGGCTTCGAGGAGTGCGGTGCTAGCTAGCCATCCATCATGAAGGTAAGGTATTCGGGCAGGCATTGTAGAATGCGACTACTTGAACGATGTTACTTAGTGTACTACAGCTAGACGTGTACCATAGCCTGGCATTGGTCTCAGTCTAGCTGCGACCAGGATGTAATTGTAAAAGCACTGAAGTTGTACTGATCAATAATTATTAGTAGCCTTATAGTTATAGCTGTTGCGACATCGAGGTCGGCAACAGGAAATGATCAATGATTGACTCCGTAATATTGGATGGTGTACGTCGGGGAGAGGGACACCTTTTTGGTCTTGGTTGTGTTGCCATTGTACTATACTCTACCCCAGGGCTTGATGCACTATTTGCAGCCAGGACAACACAAAGTATCTGTAGACACAGTATTGCTCTTTGAACGATGGCGTTGCGGAGTTTTTTGCCTCACCAGTGTGGATAACACACGGTGGGGGGGGGGGGGGGTAGGATGTGATTGGAGTGGTGGCATATGTACATGTATTGGAAAAGGGCAGTTGGCTTTTGTGTTTGAAATTTACCCATCTACCAATTATGCGCGTGTTTCTAGTTGACGAGAATTCTGTGGACACGCTAGCACTCGCAGAAATGAATAAACGAACACAATGTACTCGTTGAGAGCTAAGGCAATGGATGCACCAAGGCCATTCAGATGTTCAGCCAAAGAACGCGCTCAATGCGGAAATAGCTGAACTTGTTGGACTCTCAGCCTCTTTCAGCGTTAATGTGCCATTTTGAAACGCTACACTGTTGCTGAATGCACTCAGCTTCCTTCAGCCGTCTAGCCGCTTTCAAATGCTGGAAGGAACCTACTAAATCATACTTTATCCCACCAGTGTGATTACAAATCAAAATTTGAGCCTGGGTCTAGGTCTCTCTCTCCCCCTCCCCCCCCTCTCTCTCTCTCTCTCTCTCTCTCTCTCTCTCTCTCTCTCTCTGTCTCTGTCTCTGTCTCTGTCTCTCTGTCTCTGTCTCTCTCTCTCTCTGTCTCTCTGTCTCTCTCTCTCTCTCTCTCTTCCTCTCTCTCTCTGTCTCTCTCTGTCTCTCTCTGTCTCTCTCTCTCTCTTTGTGTCTCTCTCTGTGTCTCTCTCTGTCTCTCTCTCTCTCTGTGTCTCTCTCTCTCTCTCTCTCTCTCTCTCTCTCTCTCTCTCTCTCTCTCTCTCCCTCTCTCTCAATCTCTCTGTCTCTCTGTCTCTCTCTCTCTCAAACCCCAACGCCGACGTTCAATAGCAGCACCGTAGCCACAATTGCTGCACATGGGTTGCTTTAAAGTGTAGACACTCAAACAAGGACTGAAAACGCTTTGAAAGCTCGGAAAAAGCATTTCACATTGTCCAAGAAAGCAGAGACTGCTTTCGGCTAATCTTGTGGATGTGAATGCCATCATCACGACCATGCGATGTGTGGCTTGGCTTGGGTTGCCACTCGGGAAGATCATGATTAATCTGACTTTGTTTGCGCTTGTGCTCGTTCTGTTTGCCACTCTCTTCCAATGCCGTCTGCTCTAGTGTTACCAGCCCAGTGCCTTGACAGCTATCGTTATTCATGTGATCAGCCTATTGCAACTCAGCATGGTTGCCAGTCAGCTCAAAACTTCAAACAGTGAGTTGGGCTAACACAGAGCAAGTACTGTGCTGTAGACCATGGCATTACATCTGAAAAATGTTCAATAGTACATGTTTCACGAAAACTGTGGAGAGGTTGACTAATAGTTGCATTTCCACATTCAACTTTCAAGCTGGCATGCAGTGCACACTGCAGCGGTGGTTACGTCCCTGTTACCCTGGTTATGCATCTACAGCACTGTCGGGCGCCGAAGAACGGCCAGGCTGGAATTTCACCAAGCACAGCATACCAATGTATACACGGTGACTCAACTGTGTATAGACTGTCATACGTGAAAATAAGAACGGCCTAGGCTAGGAGGTTGACCCCCCAGTTCTTCGGTTACCGATAGTACTGTCCCGCTGTTTGGTAACTGTTACCCTGGTTGCATGGGTGTTACCGTGGTTACATGGCAACTACCGTGATTTACCCATCGTGGTACATGACTGGCTCCCTGGTCATGTTACTGGTTCCCTTTGTGCATGGCTGTTCCCATGGTTACATGGCAACTACTGTGGTTATGTGATTGTTACCGTGGTAACAGTGTGTGTGACTGTTACCCTTGCTGTGTGACTGTTACCCTTGCTGTGTGACTGTTATACTGTGGTTGCATGACTGTTACCATGGCATATGACTGTTGCCATGGCATATGACTGTTGCCATGGCATATGACTGTTGCCCTGGCATATGACTGTTGCCCTGGCATATGACTGTTGCCATGGCATATGACTGTTGCCATGGCATATGACTGTTGCCATGGCATATGACTGTTGCCATGGCATATGACTGTTGCCCTGGCATATGACTGTTGCCATGGCATATGACTGTTGCCATGGCATATGACTGTTGCCATGGCATATGACTGTTGCCATGGCATATGACTGAAACCATGGCATATGACTGTTACCATGGCATATGACTGTTACTATGGTATATGACTGTCGCCGTAATTGTATCCTCGGTCGTATCCTGCTGCCTCTGCATATGTCTTTCCATTCAGGTTCTTCTTGTGAGCAAAGAAATCTGGCGGGCTTCAACATTAACCTTCTAAGCAGTCCCGGCATTTTTCCGGCAGAGCGTGCCGATATAATGGACAATCTGCGCGTGGCAGATGAGGGCTGCGCAGTGGTGAAGCCGTTGGGAAGCCAGGTGACCGAATTGAACTTTACTGACTCCATGCTCGGTAAAGTCTTGAGGATCGACTGCAACACTCCGGAGGGTAGGTGATTGGCTGCGTTAGTCTCGGTTCCTGGCATCCAGGAAACCTGC